GTGCGTGCGTGCGTGCGTGCGTGCGTGCGTGCGTGCGTGCTTGTGTGTGTGTGTGAGTGACATGGGTGTGACTGTGCTCTTTAGACTTGTCTTCAAAATACCAAAACACAAAATAGTGAGCGGATATCACAAAAAAAAATCCAATAAAGTGAGATTTTTCTATGGCTATCAACACTTATAGATGATATATAAAAATATCCAGTTAATAGATGTATTTGCTTTTATTTTCTATGATTTTCTTCTATTTTACCAGCTAAAACCACACCTGTGTTGCTAGCCCTTTTTCTACTTTTCACATTTACAGTAGTACAATCTGCCTTTTATATTCATTTAATCCCACTGTTTTGTTTTTTTTTCCGCCCCCACCCCTCCGCCCTAACACCCCTCCCCCTTTAAGGTGTTTGTATATTTTTATAGCTTCTTGTTTGATGCGGTAGTGTTGAAGTTTAGATCTCGTTTGTGGAAGTGTTGAGGTAGAGCCTTCTATGATCGCTTTTTTTTGTTTTATTCCAAATGTTTTTTTGTTTTTTTTTTTTTTTTTCCAAATGTTTTTTTGTTTTTTTTTTTTATGTGGCAAGGAGGGGCTTGCGAGCAAGAAAAAAAAAAAGACAAAGCAATGCAAAAGGATGGACTGTGAGGAAATTGCACACTAAAGAAAAAAGGAGGACGGACGATGAAGGATCCAGATGGACGTGATGAAGAGCGGCAGCCTCGGCACTAAAACGTATTCCGGAGTTGAACTCATTCAACGCACACACACACGCACACACACACACACCAAATCACATCACAGGTGGCACATTTCAAACGTTCTCCTCTTGTTGTGTTACATTATTTGTACACACAGACAGACACACACACAAGCGCCTGTTAATGACTGCTACACTGATTGCATTGAAACACACACATCCCCGACAATTAGTTTTTAATGAGTGTGTGTGTACGTTGTGCGGCGCAAGTACCACGAGACACATGATGGCCAATTGAGGCGCTATTTGTTCACCTACTTAGCAGTAAAGTCGTTTTGTGTTGCTGGGACATGTTTGTGGCTTTTATGTAAACGGGGATCACACACAAGACGCCGGACACACAATGCTGCATTCAGAGGCGCCGTTGGGTGCACACATGCTTTCAGTAAAATTGTTTTGTGTTGCGCAAACATTTTGTGGCTTTCGTGTAAACTGGTTCATGGTCACACACACACACACACACACACACACACACACACACACACACACACACACACACACACATACCACACACACATCAGCGTTTTTTGTGTGATCCTTCCTTAACTGTATTTTGTATCAGTACCTAACATCATCTACACAATGTATTAAGGTGTGCTTTAATTGTCACATTCGCCCATGTTGGAGATTTTTGTCGCCCGGTTGCTTCTGGCCTATATTTGACGGTTTGAAATTGAGTTGAAAAGATGACACTGAGTAATGGGGAAAGAAAAGGGGGGCGGGATGGGGGGGGGGGGGTTTGACTCTTTTGTACGACGACAAAGTTGTGTTTTGTTGTTTTTATGTACACTGTTCCGTCTTTTGTCGATCCGAACCCGGAAAGAGAGAGTAGTGCACACGCCCTCCGAGGCCGCATTGGCAACTTGTGCAACGTGACTTGTTATGTACAAAAAAAAAAAAAAAAAAAATGGTTGCAACTTCAACGGGGGAGGGTTGGGGGTGGGGGTGAGGAGTGGGGGCTACACACAAAATAACAAAGACTCTCACTGCCCCCGACACTTTTTGCGGTCCCTCGAGCATCCCCCTCGGACTGCCATGTTTTTTCATGTTTTCACGTGGATTTAAACATGTCACCGTTTGTGTTTGACCGACCTGGTGAAACAGAGTGTTGCCTGCAAGGCTGGGGGTGGTGGGGGGGGCATCACCATCGGCTAGTAAAAGAGTGTGTGTTTGTGTCATGCGGCCCCTCAAATGTGACGTGTTGTATTTGGGACACCTCCATGTGAGGTGTGCGTGCGTGCGTGTGTGTGTGTGTGTGTGTGTGTGTCATCTCCTCCTCTCCCCTCATTGTTTCCTCATCACAGCGACCCCCACAGTGAACCCGCTCCCGCCCCCAACTCACCTCTGAAGAGAGGAAAAGATGAGTACATTCCTGCTTTGGAGAAGAAAAAAAACAGTTGAATAAAAAAACAAACAAACAAATGTTTAAGCACCACTTTTGCTTGTGATGTGAGGTTCATTTTTGTGTGAGGGTCTTTTTATTTCGTGCGTGGGCATTTGTATCAGAGGCCCACTGGCCATGCCTTTTAGAAGTAGTTTTCTCCTCTTGTTGGTACTTTCGACTGTTCACAGCATGGTTCCTTTTAGTGCCTCGCTTCATAGCACTGCAGTCACACGCACACACACACACGCTAACTCTCCCGCAAGTGTTATCAACAAGTTATCAAACCTGCCTTCGTTAAGGTTGCCTGGCAACCTATTGACAGACCTGATTTCATTCTCTGTCTCCCCCATTTCCCCTCCTTTACTCCCTTCTATCCGTTGCTGTGGTAACAGGTGGCGTCCCTTTCAATGTATCCTCGGCCACCAGGGTGGGCTTGAGTGTGACCACTTTGATCGATGGTGTGTGTGGGTGTGAGAGTTGATTACTGGTCGTCTCTTTCTCTCTCTCTCTCTCTCTCTCTCTCTCTCTCTCTCTCTCTCTCTCTCTCTCTCTCTCTCTCTCTCTCGCTCTCTCTCTCTCTCTCTCTCTCTCTCTCTCTCTCTCTCGCTCTCTCGCTCTCTGTCTCATAACACACACACACACACACGCACGCACGCACGCACACACAATCGCTGACTCCCAGCTACACAAACATCCCCTCTTGTCTACTGATGCACACGCCCAAGGATCAGTCCCACTTTGGCACTTACAACAAGGAAACGGATGTGAACATCTGATGCCCAGTTACTATGGCAACCAGGTGTTGGCATCCCACGTCACATCATTTGAATGACGACAACTGCAGGAACTTTCTTGCGCAAAGAGACCAGCCACGATTTCAGCACTAATTTTGACGACCTCAAAGAAGACAAAGGCTGCCAGAGGTTGGAAAAGGCCTCGGGGGAAAAATGTGCGGTGGATGGCAGCCTTTTATTTGAAAGCAAAATAAAAAAAAAAACATAATTTTGGTTGAGCATTCTTGTGGTAGAACATTTTCATCCAAGCATGCTAGCCATTTTTGCGGAGTGTGTTGTGACATGACTCACACTATCACAGGGGTCGGCAACCCAAAATGTTGAAAGAGCCATGTAGGACCAAAAAATCAAAAGCAAAAACTGTCTGGAGCCGCAAAATAAATCAATAAATAAAGGCCTTATAACGAAGGAAACACATGCTGTATGTATCTATGTGAGCTACGATCAAAGTGACTAAGTTGGCTACAAATACACAATGAGTCTTCATGATTAAATGTTTTTTTTTTCCCTGCACTGCATCCTGTAGAGCAAAGGTGCCCAACCTTTTTGGACCAAAAATCTACTTTTCGATCAACCAACCTACCACGATCAACCCATTATCGCACGTACTTACCAACGCATGCCTACCTACCTTCGTCGAGACCCGACGCGGAGGCATGCTACGTACTTTTGCAGCGTGTTCACTATCGTAGCTCACGTGTATCGTTTTAAAATGCTTCTCTCGGCCCTCCACGTTCTCATTCTTCGCCAGTACCCTCGGTGAACTGTACATGAAACGCTGTTGTGTTGTTTTGTTTTTTTTTTTGCAACAACCACCTGCCTGGCATCCCGCTCTGCTAATAGAAACACGAATCGCAGGCTATGACGCAAATCTTCGTTGACAGAAACGTTGAAATTTAAGATTTATTCTACACATTTGTACAGCATTGGAAAACGTTAAGAATGTTTGTGTCATGTTTTGCCTCCAACAGAACCCATATTTAAAACAATAAAATAAATTCCCTCCCACATCTTTTTCCATTTTCAAAGATTTTTTTTTTATAAAGCTCCAGGGAGCCACTAGGGCGGCGCTAAAGAGCCGCGGGCTTAAGACGACCGCCCGTTGCCGGCGCCCCCCCCCCCCCCCCCGCACTATCACGATTTAGTATAATGTCCTCCTAAATGTAAGAAGGATTTTTTTAAATACAGTAGATATATAGATAAATTCACACACTCTAATTGTATTTTTTGAACGTAATTGATTTTTTTCTCAATCCGAAAAACCCGAACGCACCGCTCCAAACCACGTGACCGTGCTTTTTGCTCCTGATTGGCCGACTGACTCGGCAGCACCCAACTGGAAAGTCTTCCATGGGCTCCAAAATTCGACTTTGAAATCATCATTACTTGTTTATTGTTCCTCACAGAAGCAATTTTATTTCAGCAGTAGGACGTTTGAACTGGACCCGACGTTGTTTTGGGCAAGCTCAGCTTCAGCCAAATCAAACGAGGTAGGTGTCCGTTTGTGCAACAAGCCGCAGTGGGAATTATCGATTGACACATTCCATTTCAGAATGTTTGGCAAAGTGCGCATTTGAAAGGTGGTCTGAAGATACTGGAAGTGCAAAGACTTGAGAAATAACGACGTATTGGTTTGTCAAGGTATAGCGAGGTACAGTCTACCTGGTGCTGATATGTAGCATTGCTAATAAGTAGTTAGAATTACAGTGTGTAGCCATTTGTGAGTGTACACCGTGTGATATTTAGTTAACCAACCAAGCAGAACCTGCAACGGTCCAAAATTCGTTAATATCTCATCCCCAAATTGTGTAGGAGAGTAAAACAGAGCTGTTTGGTTGGTACAAGAAGTTCAACTCTTAATCAAACGCTGCTGTTTTTGTTTTTCACCAAAACACCAAACAGTCAGCAACTTTATTAAAAAGTGACAACTTTTTAGATCCTTCGTCAATCATTCGAGGTTCTACACTTGAATATGCAGTCAATAGGTGTTGTTCTATTTATCTGCTTGGTTAAACAACTCCTCTGCTGTTTGACGTTTTCTATTCGCTATCTTTGTTTTTCACAGCTCACTGGGCCTCATCACGCTCGCCTGTCACCCTCGCCCGAGTGATGCCACGAATCGCACAAAGGTAGGCACTTTTGTTTGAGCTGTCACTCATCCGTTCAGTGCAAAGAATACAGTATTGTGTTGTCGATGACACCGGTGTCCAAACAACGGGCCAGGGGCCATTTGTGGCCCGCTCTCCAGTGATGCCCGTTAGAAAGAAACACATTTCTGTATTCTCACCATTTATTTGCAGTAACGACTTGTGTCATGCGTAAGCGAAGTAATCAGTTCCACAGTTACTTTGCAAGAGCACAATTCATTTCTATGTCAAGTAAAAATCCATCCAGATAAGTCAAAATAATTTTGTCAAACCCAAAAGTTTGCTTTTATTTTCTGTTTAATGACAAAAGAAACGTTATTTTTCTAAAATGTCACCGTTACTTCCAATGAAGTGTTTGTCAATTTTGTGTTCAGCGTGGTTGTCGGCATCTGTTGAAATGAACAAAAGTAACTTAGAATCTTACTTAGTTACTTTTAAAAATCAGGTCATCAGTAACCAAGCTACTTTTGAAGTCAAGTTACGTTTTCAAGTTATCGCTGCTTATAACTTAGAGTCACTTTGTCGCAATCAGGCGTGGAAGAAAAACAAAAGGGCCCCCATTAGCTTAAATGCTCTGTAGCACCAAATCAATGCTAATAACAATCCTTGAACGGCTCGGACGCTGCCGCAGTGATTCCGTCGCTGCGATATTCCCCTCAAAGAGAAACTCCTGCTAATCTAATGGCTGTTAAGCCATAATGAGTCCTCGCTTGCTTCTTTGCGTCGGGCCTTTTAAGGAGGTCCTGTTTAGACCGCTGCGGTCGCCTTATCATTACACGCTCATCACTACTGCTGCTAATCTGTTCTGCTCGCTGCACACGCGCATGAATATTAATGCCACTCCATCGTGATGGCGACGTGTACACACCTGCGTGCTTCTGTGCGTCTTCGTCAAGCGTCACGGCCGCCGAGTTCCTCGACACTCCTTGGAGGAAGGCGAGCGCCACCCGGTGATGTATTTATTTATTTATCTGAACCTTGAGGTCAAGGGAATGGGGTTATAAAGATGAGGAAATGTAACTTTCCAAGGACCGCTACGAGCGCCGGGCCGCCCGTTTTTGACTGAACAGTCGAAGCACGCCGTTTGCCGTTATGATTGCCGCTGATGCCGAGGCTTCATGGATGAGCGGTGCCGTCTTCTCATTCTCATTTATGCATTCTCAGGGCCGCATGGTTGCTAATAGTGCATAGCGGAGCAGATCACATCATCAGATGCTCTTGCTGATTCCTAATGTGCCTCGACGGCTCCCCCCAACACGGGGAGTGGAGGGGGCCGGGACAATCTGATTTAAAAAAAAAAAAAAGTGCTTCCAATGTTTTTAAGCCAAACTAAAGGACAACAATAGGACTGTTTTTCACCATTTGACACAGGTCATGTATATTGAAGGCCCTGAACGCGTGAGCATTGCGCAACAAGATGAGAGCTTGCGCGGGAAGTGTTTTTTTTTTTTCTCCCCCCCCCCCCCCCCCCCCTCCCATGTGAATTTCAAAGTTGGACGGCGGGTTCCCGCCTGCGCACAATTGGGCCATCAAACTGTTTCATGAGAGCCTTCCTTTCCCTTGAAACGACAAGTTCAAAGCTCATCCCGCTCAAAAGGCATCTGATTGAATTTTCGCTCCCAGGAGTGCGAGTTTGATCTGCGGCAGCGCCACACCCTTTGCAACGCTCGCAGAGAGGTGAGCCTTTCCCACTTTTCAAACCATCAAGAAGGATTTCACAGCGCTTGGGCTGCGGCAGCCTGCGATTAGACCAGCCGGGTCACGGCGGTGCAGACATTTGAATAATATTCAACTGGTCTGCTCCTTCAGCCTGACACTGAGCAAGTCCTGTAATCTTTCGCACTTTTCCAATCTCTCGCAAAGAAATGATCTCCAGCCAGCACCGGACAGTGTGTGAACATTTCAAACAGGTGGACTAGCGGTGAGCAACGAAACCTAAGCCGACAACACCGGGTTTGAAACAAATAACAAAATAAAAGCATCTACCATTTTTTTTTCAGTTCAAAGGGCTGTCTTGCATAAAAATTACAGTTCAAGGTCTGCACAAAACTGCTGTACAGCAAACCAACATTAAGTGCAAGGACCCAAAAACTTCAAGTCACTCAAAGTCGTCCTATATGGAGGCAGGTTGTTTTCCCTGCATATCATTCCAAATCTGCAAAAAAATACCCCCCCCCCCCATCCTCCACATTTCACACCCATTTTTTTGTCGAAAATGTACATGAATTATTCTTGAATGTTTCGTTAAAAATATAATGTTAATGAATAATCACGATGTCACTCAGCATGTGGTCGCAAGCCATGAAAGACAGACCATGAAACAATAAAGGCAATCATATATTCTTTATCCTCACCAACTAAAGACTCGTATTTTTGCCGTACTTTTGAACGATGCAGTCATCTCTTCTTAATCCCAGTTTCCTATTCACTAGTTCAAGTACCTTTATTTTAGTGTCACCTATCAGGCGTAAACATTCATATTTTATCAATCTGTTGTGGTTTATTGGAAAACAGTTTGATTTATTTCTTGTGTTTGTGAAATACGGGCGTTGAAAATAAATAACTGAATGATTGCAAGAGGGGGGAAAAAATCAGAATGGAATTAATATTCAAAATGGTTTCTCCAGCGTGGACAGTGGGCAGCTTATTGAAAATGCTCTCAGTTTGTGCCGTTTGCGAGGCAAGGCTTCTTCACCAGTGCATGACGGAGCTGGCCGAACAAAGCTGCTGGTGTGTCGCTGTGATAAAGAAAGCAATTTATTAATATGCATAACAATTGATAGAAACACACATACACACCCCATTTGAAGCATGTGCCAGTTCAATAAGAGAACTTTAAAAAAAAAACAAACAAAAAACATGTTACACCGAGTAGCATTCACATGAAATGTTTTGTCCTGAACATGACGGGCGTCGCAGACGATCTTCTCGCCCGAATAAGTTTGCGGCCAATCGCTTGTGTTGACATTGTTTGTCATCAAACACGCTAAACTGAGTGTGAAAAGAAAGCAAAACACTAGCCGGTAGTCCCCCCCCACCCCGAAAGTCTTCACTGTGAGCGCCCCCTAAAAGTGACGCTTCGGCAGAAAGTGAATGAGTCCCCCTATGCCCC